CATAGGTCTGGGTCCCCTTTTCCCGTTTCCTGAGCAGGTATAGGGGAGTCGTAGGTTGCTCTTGTAGGTCTAGTCCGGGAGTAGAAGTAGCGGGCAGGAAATTAGTGTCGGGTCTTTTGCATCTCATTTTGACTGGGGAAACTCTGCCCATCCGTTGCTGGAGTGCTGCTGCGCTATTTTGGGCGAGGTCATCTTCTTCCTCGAAGCCCAGCCATAGCCGGGGTTGGAAAATGAAATTGAAGACTGCACTGCGGTTATTTCGCAGCTCTGCATGAGAGCTTCTGCAAGACTGTGTTCTTTGGTTTGCGCACTGCCATTTCCACTTGGCAGCCATATCTGTTGTTCCTCCTCATGAGGAACTTCATCTTCTTCGAAGTGCTGGATCAATTGTCTCCTTCTTTCTCCTTCTTCATCAGGACTTCCAGCACTGCACTTCCATGTGGGTGCTGAGCTGGCGCTGCTATCATTGGGGTTGCTGGTTCAGATTGGCACATTGTGACAGCTGTGAATTTACTGCTGCTACGGCAGCCATAGCCTGGGGTATGAGGTGACAAGGAGGAAAAAGAAGACTCCTGCATACTTTGTTGAACATTTGTTTTCCGTTGTTCGGGGTTGTTGACACCGTGGTTGTGGCTCTTGGAAAAAGTACTCTGGATTGATTGGAGGAGGACGGGGGATTGGAGAATTGAAATTCGTTTTTCTATTCTGTGTATTTTGAGCTTCCGCTGTGCATATCTCCTCTCTGGTTTTGAGTGGATTTGCCTCCTTCGGGTCTACTCTGCAATTGCATGCGTGAATGGGAACGTGTGAATTCACTGTGGATTGAAGTTCAATCGGGTACATAACAAATGTGACTCCCCGTGAGAGACGGGAGCAATCAAGGCCTCGGTATTTCAGTGCAGCTCTTTTGAGAATCTATCTGACAGCACTTCTAGCCAGGCCTGGGGTAGGTGCTAGTGGTGTCTGCTTTTATCAGCACCACTAACACTGGTGGAGAAGTGAMAAAAAAAAAAAAAAAAGCCAGGCCTGGGGTGGTACATGAATGAAAACAAGAAAACAACTGCCGTGTGTCGTTCCAGCTGCAGGCAGCAGGTCCATCATAAGGGTCAGTACTGGTGCCAGCCGGCCAATTTCCCCTACCGGATCCGGCCCCCTCCCGGCTTGGCAAAAACTTGGCCACAGGGCATTTTTAGGCTCGACATCAATAGCTGAGAAAGGTGCTGGTGGTTTAAGCAAAGTCTTGAAAGGCGGCTAAGCTTCCAGCAAATGAGAGTAGCTCAGGATAAACCACTGCTGCCGAATTCCCTAAAGCCTTACAGTCATTTTACGGACTTCACAAGGCAACTTCAGCTAACAGAAATAGAGTACTACTCAGACGACTACAAATTTAGGCTGGCGTGAGTGAAAGTATTTACACGATGGGTATGGCCCCCAAACTGTGTCCCCTTTTTTTTTGTTTTGGTACTGTAGGGTCAAAGTAGAACTCTCCGTTAGGTCTGTAGGAACAGTAGAGATCCGTACTAGTAGTAGTCAGAAGGTAGGGGGTCGCCACTTGTCCAATACCAGTCCAGTTGTAATTAACTCTCTGTGTACTCATCTCGTGTGTGAATTGGCGGCCTGCAAAGTACACTGTGTAGTTGCCATTCCTTTAGCCACCTGTCAAACGAACCCATGGAAGACTTAAAGTTCTAAAGCAAATACCGAGAAGCAGACAACGAGTGCAACATCACAATTTTTTAGATGATTCCTTCTGAGCATGAAGACGGCAATCGCAACACCTCGCCCCTTCTTGCGCACTCTTGATTGTTGTCCTGAAGTTGGGAGGGATCCTTGACTTAGGCATAGGACGAGGCATGACTGGTCGTGCTGTGGTGGAGCTTAGGAAGTACGGACCTGGTCACAAAATTGGCCATTTTGTGCTTAGCCCATCACCATGGGGTCCGTAGCTTTATTCAATTCCTCACTTGAGTGGCGCGCTGGGAGGCTATTCTGATGCAGCGCTACTAACTGGGTGTAGGATAGAGAGTGGGGTGTGAGTTCTGAGTGTGGCGAGATACCGGAACAAACTCTGTTACGATATTCGTGTGAGTGGCTCATCATCAGTGACAGTTTCAATTGTAATCTTCGCAGGTTCTTTCTTGTGATTGGTTGTTGGGAGTGGTGTCAGAGAGTGAGAAACACTGTGTGTCTTCTCCCCAGCTGTGCATGCTTGTCTTCCGCTGTTTATCTTCATCTGTGTGCAGTTTGGACTCTGTCTCCTCTCTCCCCTTTTCTTATGCATGTATGGGCATGTGTGAGATTCTGTGTGTGAGTGGCGAGAAAATTCGTCAGACAACCAAGTTCATAACATATGCTGCTGAGATACTTTAAAAGTTCTCCTTTTCTAACAGTACCTCCCCTTTAGGTGCTCACCGGAGTCACCATAACATGTGTGTGAAGTTGTGAACTAATTAAGCACGTGGACCTTCCATCCATTGCTGCGGGACTACTTTAAAAGTTCTCCTTCCAACAGATAACTCCCCTTTAAGTGCCTCACCACAGCATGTGTGTGAACGGATTAGCACGTGGATCCTCCATCCATTGACACATATGTGCGTTGTAGGTTTATCTTCAAGTGTGTGCTGGCAGCTTGGGAATACAGCAAACTCACTTCATGGCCCGAGTGGTGGACTGACCTTTCTGGGTCGTCCATCAGTCTGACGTGCCCCTTGCAAGGGCAGCAGGAGAGAGAAAGACCCACAGACACAGACACTCTCTGACTTCATCCTTCTTAAACAATTTGAGCACCCCAAATTCAACCATAGAGCCAGAAAGACACACACATGCACACACACACACACACACACACACACACACACACACACACACACACACGCACACACGCTCTCTGACTTCATCCTTCTTAAGCAATCCGGGCRCCCAAAATTCAACCATAAAAGCATGAGAAATGAAGTTGATACTTTTTAAGCAACTTGAGCACCCAAAATTTAACCATAAAAGCATGACAAAAGCATGGCAAATGAAGTTGGTACTTCTCTCTGAGTTTGTTTCACTGTCGTATGTCTCTGTTTCCTCTCTCTCTCTCTCTCTCTCTCTCTCTCTCTCTCTCTCTCTCTCTCTCTCTCTCTCTCTCTCTCTCTCTCTCTCNCTATAGCCTATAGCCGGGTCCGGTAGAGGCCGAGAGGCCGAAACAGCAACGGTACCGGTCGGTCGGTCAGTCCGGTCTAGGTCTAGAGAATCTATCGATAGGTTAGGCCCATCGGTTCAGGACTTTTGGCAGTTCATTTTCTCGCGAGCAGTGTTGGAGAAGCCAAGCAAGTGGGTGGCGGTACCTGTCTACAGGCGGCATCCTGAGACGCGCCGTGATAGCAGCCATAGCCGGCCCTCTCTGAGTCTGCCATAGCTGGGGCATCCTCAGCGCACCTACCCCTGGGGGTATCTGCGTATGGCCGGGCGGTATCGAGGCTCCACAGTGGTTGTTCRTGGGTGGTGGCAGCCATAGCTGCCTGTTCCTTCGTCGGAGTTGTCCATCGGCACTGAAGACTTCATCGCAGTACCGGTTCTTCATCAGGGTGGTTGGCGCTGGCCTCTTGGAGGCTATTCTGATGCAGCGCTACTAACTGGGTGTAGGATAGAGAGTGGGGTGTGAGTTCTGAGTGTGGCGAGATACCGGAACAAACTCTGTTACGATATTCGTGTGAGTGGCTCATCATCAGTGACAGTTTCAATTGTAATCTTCGCAGGTTCTTTCTTGTGATTGGTTGTTGGGAGTGGTGTCAGAGAGTGAGAAACACTGTGTGTCTTCTCCCCAGCTGTGCATGCTTGTCTTCCGCTGTTTATCTTCATCTGTGTGCAGTTTGGACTCTGTCTCCTCTCTCCCCTTTTCTTATGCATGTATGGGCATGTGTGAGATT